ATCACAACCTCTCCTCCAGGAGAGTGTATCAGGAACAGCTCTTAGAAGAGATAAGTGATTAGAGCTCAAGGGAGTATGCAGAACAAAGCAATCCCCAGTGTGATTATAGCAGTTCCCCTCCAATCACGAGACAAGACTACGTGTTGAGGGTCAAACAGGAACAGAATGCACTGAGGCTTTATTGCTTCTTTTATACATATTTTCCCACAAGGTTACCACCCACGTGGGCCTTGTTGGGTACTGAAAACACAAATGTAACACATATAATTGACAAAAATAAATGGCCGACCTACGACAAGATATGAAATGATGGTCTGATTTTGAGCTTTCATGGGTGGGAAGAATGACATCTATCAAGATGAATATTCTTTCCAAAATATTATATTTTTTTCGAACTATCTCGTTATCTATATCATTAAACTTTTTAAATGGGGGGCGGAGCCTAAGACTGCACTGGAGCAGACGCCATTACCCGGAGCTCCGAGAAAAATCAACTGAAATCCACCAACATCGAGACCATACAGCGAAACCTGTGGTCTCAAAAGGCACTGCTGCAAGCAGAACACATTCCCGATAAGACTGATGCCGTTTTTTCTAACTCCCGGCACGAAAACTCAAAAATGTGGCGGTAAGGCCTACCGCACGGGCGAACAGCACGGGGAGCTTGTGGAGAGGGGCTGGCCGTGGTACATACCTGTCTCAGGAGACCAGCAGACAAACTAGCACAGTGCAGGTGAGATGAGACGGAAAACCCCAAAACCGACGCCGGCCACCTCAAAACCATGGCAGGACATTAGTCAAATACTGTAAACACCCAGGGTGTCGCAGGCCTGTGAGGCCTCACCTGAACCCTCGGAAAAGGAATAGACATATGACAGCCCCCCACCAGACCCCAATGGACCAGAACTATCACTGGCACAAAATGACTGTGCCCCAGCTACAAAAGGGGACATTCAAACCATGCTGGCAGGCCTCCAACACAACCTTAAACAAATGTGGGAAGCAGACCTAGCAGCGCTTACCACAGAAGTGCAGGCAGTGACCGCACGCACTCAAGCTACAGAGGGGGACATAACAGATCTGAAGCACAGCATCCATACGATGGGCGACACAATCCAACAATTACAAACCATCCAGGAAAGCCTCTCCAACCAAGTCCACCTACTGGATGACAGGAGCCGACGCAAGAATATTAAGATCAGAGGGATACTAGAGACTGTGCCACTAGAGGAACTACCCCACTATATTCAGTGCCTAGTGACTGAGGTACTGCCGATGAAACAGGCCAAAGCATTCATATTTGATGGAGTATACAGAATATCCAAATCTCCTCAGGCCCCCAACGCAGCTCCATGGGACAATATACTCAGGTGTCAAACAATGTCAGACAAACTAGGGCTATTGGCTGCACTACAAGGTGCAACTCAATAAATATAAACAAAGGTATTGCTTGGTCTTTGAAGGGTTAGCCAGACAGGCCATTGCATAAACCAATGGAGTTTGAATCATGCCGACTCTCCTTTTTCAAGTCTTAGGCAGGGCCACACTCCTATGGTGTAGAGACATGAAATCGATTACCAAACCACTTCACGCAGCAGGAATAACCTACAAATGGGCGACTCCCAGAACTGTAAATGGAGAACAACATAAGGCAGCGACCCCCCAGGATGTCCAAACTATACTGGACATATTGGGATTCTCTAGCCAGAGAAACATGGCAGCTACACAACCTCACCCCCAATCTTGGAAAGCAGACAAGGCTACAGTCTTCCGGCCCAGGGAGGCGAGAACTGCAAAGACATGAGCTGGGCCCCATCATCAGCTCCCTCCGCTTGATCCAGCGGTCCAGTATCAACCACATAGATCTGTTATACCTTAAAATTGTGTCTAATTAGTTCATTTTATGTTTAGTTACGCTTTAGGATATACAAACACACCCCGCTCCCCATAGGCAGAGAGAAATCCCTCACAGGGCTGACCTTAACTACTCTGGTGATGACCCCCCCTCATCCCTAGGATATGGGGACATACTCACAGAGAGCCACCAATATCTAACCCACACGAGTCAAGACTAGTGCTATCGCGCAACATAGTTGCGCGCACCCACCTAGGCTCTACTCTACCTAGGTTTAAAATAGATGTTCTTCTTAAACAGTGACGAACAGTGCCCTATTATATTATGAGTACACATTTCGCTCTCAATGCCATCACTCGCTATGACATCCCAGAATGTTATGTTATGTTCTATGTTGTGTTTTATCTTATTGTTTCATGACATGTCTCACACTAACTAGCCTCACTTTCAGGCAGCACACATGCACATACACTCCCCATTGGACCACAAAATCGATAACACTAGGCTACTTCAACATGGTTCGTCTTCTTCTGTTTACATGTACACGTTTACTGAATCATTACACTAAAGCGTATCAGGTTCAAAGTTGACTCAAAAGCTACGCTGTACCTTGAATCATTATATAACAAAAAAAGTGCCAAATTTACTCATGCCACACCAATGTTTTATTCTGTTGTATACGAATGCGCCTGTCAAAGCTGTTGTGGCAATGCAGGCACTGATGTACTTACATGCATGACAAAAAAATTAAATTAAATTAAAAAAAACAAAAAATCTTTTTTTAATAAAATTCATTCACCCTTAATAAAATTTATATGGAAAAATAAACCAAGCAGGGTAAAGCGTACTACTTTACAACATCTAAAGATAAATGGTGCATTAGGAGTTCCAGACTTTCGTAAATATAATACAGCAACAAATGCTGCCTCCGCTATTAAATTTAATATAGACTTCAACAAACCAAGATGGCTGGAGATTGAGTCAGATAAAATAAATCCCATTTCATTTAAAAACATTTTATGGTTACCTCCAAATAAACGCCCCCAAAATTCCGACATGTTTCCTACTACCAAAATTACCCTAAAAGCTTGGGACACTATTTTTAAAACTGCTACTCAATCATCTGGTTTATCAAGAGCCATGCCACTTCCTATTTTAAATCATCATATTAATCCATTAATACATTACATTTTTGGTATTCATATTCTATATTCAATTTAAATAATAAAAAAAAAAATTAGGAAATTGCATTGTCATTTGTTAAAATGAAAGAAAAATTTGTATTATCGGACCATATTATCCCAATTCAATTTAATTAATGACAAATTTAAATATTTTTTGAATATAGGATATAAATCATTAGAAATCGTTAATTTAGAGAACATGTATCTCCTTGATCCAAACAGTAAAGCAACTATTTCATTCTGTTACTCCCAAATTTCTACTAGACCCACTAAATTAAATTACATGGGAGTCAGAATTAGACACTCAATATGATTTAGATGACTGGCTCAGTTTTCCTCTAAATTTAAAAGGCATAACACAACGCACAAATCATTTTGAAAACCATTTAAAACTCATATATAGATGGTATTTAGTTCCAGTAAAACTACATAACATTAACCCAAATATACCTGAGAAATATTAGAAATATGTCCCATATATGGTGGTTCTGTCCCAAATTAAAAACATTTTGGAGAAATATACATGCATTAATTTAAGACATTAACCCATCTTTGACTTATTTTACGTCAGAATTAGGCTTTTTAAAAAGTTTCCTCATTCCTTAAATAAAATCAACAAAATAATTATAGGATATATTTTAATTGCTGCCACTTGTTCACTGCCCTGATACTGGAAATCTCCCAAATTACCGTCAATCAAAGAAATCCTGAACCTGACACTGGAGAATGAAACATATGAATTGGCCATAAGACAACCATCCTCCTTATTAGATAAGTTATTATACTACTGGAATACATGGGAAGAAAATGTAAAGAAAATGTATTGTTTTATTCTTTATTTTGATGTACAGATATATACCTAATGTATGTAAATATATATATATATATATATATATATGGATACCCCTTTTCTCCCAGTTTCCCTTTCCCATTAATAGTCATTGTATCTGTTACTATTGTTCACTGTTTATTACAATATTTAAAATAAACAAACCTCTCTAATAAAATATATTTGACAAGAAAACAATCTATATAAACAAACAAGGTGTGAGAAAACGGCAAAATTGTGCAATTTTGTTTCTTTATATTTTTGTATTAGGTAATAAAAATTCTGATGAATCGGGTGGGAGCTTTGTTAAACATATTTCCAAATTTAGCATAGAAGATGAGGGCGGAGAAGATATTAGGATAATGTTATGGCTAGGGATTGGCAAGAGAAGATCCCACCTGTCAACTCAATAAATATAAACAAAGGTATTGCTTGGTCCTTGGTTTTCATGAAATGCTCATTTTGACTGTGTTGGAATTTCAGCTAAATCCACTACTAGATACTGGTCAGAACTACTGCCATCTAGACGTGTCAATCCCCCAGCCAGTGACAGCTGCAGGGAATTGGCAGTCTCGCTGGATCCTCCATAGAACTCAATGCTGTATGCTCGCAAATGTGCAAGAGTTCAACAATGACATTGGCTCCTGACATTAAAACTCACTTTTTCCTGACCCGCCTTCCCCTCCTCCCCCCGGCTGTTTACTAGTTATGGTGATGTTATAACAGCAGACTTAGTACACCTCTAGTGAACACAGATAATCGCCAACAGGCCAGGGAAGACGGATTGCCAGCTAGGGTACCTTCACAGGGGACAACAAAGACATGAGGGGCGCCCGGCCCCGCTTCCCCCCCCCCGGCTGGTGGGGGTAATCCCGGCCACATGGGGACGGCAAACTCCAGGGTGGGAGATACCGCGTAGGGACTATGCCGATCCCCTATGCTGATCCACACCTTGCTCTGACATCAATACTTTCTGTTTACCAGGAAAGATACATTGAGATTTCTCTCATTTTCAAGTATATCCTTGGTCCACAAAACATTATATAATTTGATACATCATGCCAATCTATAAACAATAGTTTCCTAACAATATAATTGTATTACGTTTTAGTCCTACTGGTGTATTCTATGTTTCTATCAGGAAGTATTACTTTACTGAGAGGGTAGTGGATGCATGGAATAGCCTTCCAGCTGAAGTGGTAGAGGTTAACACAGTAAAGGAGTTTAAGCATGCATGGGATAGGCATAAGGCTATCCTAACTATAAGATAAGGCTAGAGACTAATGAAAGTTTTTAGAAAATTGGGCAGACTAGATGGGCCGAATGGTTCTTATCTGCCGTCACATTCTATGTTTCTATGTTTCTATCTACAGGGGGATACATTAGGGCTTTATAATTGGTAAATTGCACTTAGTGGTTTTAAATATAATTTTTTATGCACTCGGGTAGGTTTAGTATATATTTGCACTTTATGTACGTGGCATTGCACAGATTTGTGCATCTTATTGTGCTCATATTTGCACTTATGAACATGATCATGGTGATTGCATTTTGCACTTTTACGCACCTGTTTTTGTGCTTTTGTCTGCTCTGTGATTGCATTATACACTTTTATTCACACGATTATGTGTTCACACTGCACTATTGTGCTCACATTGCACTTATGTACAAGGTTAATGTGATCATGTTCTGCACCTTCATGCACATGATTGTGTGCTCACATTTTGCACTTTATTTGCATTATGTATTTTCGCACATGGTTTACGTGTTCACATTTTTATATTGCACATGTTATGTGCTTACATTTTGCACTTACCATATGTGCCCTTATTGCACTTTACATATATGGTTAATGTGCTCATATTTTGCACTCTATGCGTGTGGCCTTGGGCTTACATTAGCACGTTTCTGTCACAAGACAAATGTGTACTATTAAGGATTGGGTATTTATGTGCACGAGTGTATTAACTGTATGGTAGCTGGTAAACTTAATTTTTTTACTTAGATTGGGGTTATGGGTTGTGGTACTACTGTATAATGTCAATGTATTTTTAGGAGTTTAAGCATGTGTGGGATAGGCATAAGGCTATCCTAACTATAAGATAAGGCCAGGGACTAATGAAAGTATTTAGAAAATTGGGCAGACTAGATGGGCCGAATGGTTCTTATCTGCCGACACATTCTATGTTTCTATGTTTCTATGTGTGTGGTACTACTGTATAATGTCAATGTATTTTTAGGCTGGAGATTGGTAGTAATGTAGAAGGATTGTATTCTTAAGTATTAGGGAATTGTGGTATTAGGTATCAACTGGGACGTTTATGCTGGAAGTACATTTTTTTTAAAGGATTTTATAGATCACGGCTGCATATCTGTTCAGAGGCCAACTGTGTTTAATTGACCTTGTAATTACATGGTACAGTGACAATAAAGTAGAATCTGTATCTGCATTTTATGTAAAAGTGAGAAACAAAAGGAATTTGCAGATTCAAATGTTTGAACATGGGCTGCTGTACTTTGCAATGCCCAGACCTATAGTTTATCACAGTCCATCTCTTTTGAGAGCATACAATCCAATGCCTTCTCAGGTGTTTTTTTTTCTTCCATCTTTACCTTTAACTACCTTTACCTTTTTTTTTTTACCTTCCATCGCATAACCCCTTCACCCCCAGAATCATATTTAAATAATTTTCCTTTTATGTACTTTTTATACACTCTTCTCATTCATACTCCAGGACTGATTACCAACCTGCAAGGAAACACATTTATTTTCCAGAAGTCACTGGTCATTCATTTTAAAGTTGTGTTTAAAAGTTTGCATACCGTTGGAGAATTAGTAACATATGTACCATTTAAAAAAAATAAAAAATAAAAATGAGTGAGTAGGCAAAACACATTTCTTTTGGGATTCATATTCAGCTGCAGGTTATAACAGAATGGCACAATCATAAAACAAAACATGGCATCAATGACAGCGTGCAGTCTTTTGTAATAGTTGTCTATGAGGCCCTAATTCTTGCAGGTGGTATAGCTACCCCTTCATCTTGGCAAAATACCTCCAGGTCATGCAAAGTCTTTGGTCGTCTTGCATGAACTGCACTTTTGAGATCTCCCCAGAGTGACTCGATGATATTAAGGTCAGAAGACTTTTCTGCTGTAACCACTGGAGGGTCAACTTGGCCTTGTGCTTAGCGTCATTGTCATGTTGGAAAGTCCAGGAGCGTCCCATGCACAGCCTTCATGCAGAAGAATGCACATTGTCTGCCAGTATTTTCTGATAACATGCTGTATTCATCTGGCCATCAATTTTCACAAGATTCTCCGTGCGTTGAGAGCTCACACCCCCCAAAACATCAGTTTGCCACTACCATGCTTCACAGTGGGGATGGCATTCTTTTCACTATATGCCTTGTTGACCCCTCTCCAAACATAAAGCTCTATTTTGGTCTCGTGACTCCAAGTTAGAATGTGCCAGAAGCTGTGAGGAGTGTCAAGGTGTTGTCAGGTATATTGTAACCGGACATTTTTGTGTCATTGACGCGGTAAAGGCTTCTTTCTGACAACTAGTTTTTGTTCAAGTATTGTCGTATTGTGCTCCTTAAAATAACCACACCATCTTTTCCAGAGCAGCCCGTGTTTCTCCTGAGGTTACCTGTGGGTTTTTATTTGTAACCAAAACAATTCTTCTGGGAGTTGTGGTTAGAATCTTTCTTGGTATACCTGACCTTGATTTGGTATTAAGAGATCCACAAATCTTTCACTTCTTAATAAGTGATTGAACAGCACTTTGCAAGGCTTTGGATATCTTTTTATATCTTTTTCCATCTTTATAAAGTTCTACTACCTTGTTACACAGGTCTTTTGACAGATCTTTTTTGCTCCCCATGGCTCAGTATCTAGCCTGCTCAGTGCATCTAAGTGAGAGCTAACAAACTCGTTGACTATTTATACACAGACACTAATTGCAAATTAAAAAGCCACAGGTGTGGGAAATTAACCTTGAATTGCCATTTTAACCTGTGTGTGTCACCTTGTGTGGCCAAACATTCAAAGGTATGTACACTTTTGATCAGTGCCATTTGGGTGATATCTGTTATCAATATGATTTTAAAAGGAGCCAAACAACTATGTGATAATACATGGCTTCATATGATCACTATCCTTCAATAAAATACATTGTTTTGCATGAGCAGTCATATTTTCAAAATCAATGCCATAATTCCACAATTTCTGCCAGGGAATGCATACTTTTGGGCGGCACAGTTGTATGCTTACAAATGTACTAAAAACTACCCCTTCCTTCCAAACAGTAAAGGATATTTCAATGGGTGATAGCATTACTACGGTCAGGGAGGGCTGAATAAGTTTTACCATTTCACTGTTGAGATTACATTAGCATTCCAGAGATTGATCAAATAAAATCTACAATAACACTTTAAATTAAAAATAACTATTGTGTAAATTTACATAATTTTCAAATTGTAAACTTGTGTGAGAAGTGATGTATACAAATAATTGTTGTATGTTTGTGTGCTAGCTATGCATAATTTGTTTCAAATAAAATCTATGCTTATATTTTTTCAAACAAAATGTGTTTAGTACTGAAGGGGTTAAGAGTGATTGAAAAAGCAGTGAGTATTTGAGGTGCATGTATTACTGAAATCCTCAGGGCATGGTACCTCAAAGCTGACTACTTTTTTTCTTGCAATGAGCGCAGAGGAATTGTCTTGGGCCACACATCAAATATATAATATAGAATAAAAGGACTGTATAGCTGTGAATAAATCACAAGAAATACAAGGGGAGTGCAATATAAATAGCAACAATAAATATCACTTAGAGTGTAATTTCAATGATTCTTTGTATATCTGTATATAATATATAATAAAAAAGACATACATAGGGCAATATTGCAAGTAATGTGTATCAAATGAGTGTAATCTGCAATGGAATCACTCACATGGAACTGCACTTTTTAAATGCTTTTCACCTAGCGCATGCGTTGTATAATCACTAAAAACATAATTGTAGTACTTCTACAAGGATAGGAAAAAGGTTATTAACATATACATTCTTCAAAACATATATAGCTATGTATATTGCTCATCTAAATGCTAAAACACTTTATGCAAAACAAACTTTACATAAAATTATATAAAAAGTATCTGTTAAAAATATTTATTGCAAATATCCATAAAAAAACTGTATTTTTTATGAAAGCCCTTTTCTTAATTTTGATATTTCAATTGTTAAGCTAAAAAAATAAGGGAGTTATCTACTTATGTGGAATTTGCATATTTATGATACTAAATTAGGGAGCTATTTACTAAACACATAAACATGTATATACAAATGCAAACATAACTACAGATACACACACACACACACACACACACACAATTACAGACCTATACACATAATCACAAATCTATACACACATAATCACCCCCCCACACACACACACACACAAACACACACACACAATCACAGAACTTTATGCACAAACACAAATACACACACACAATCAAAGACCCCCCACACATATACAATCACAGACCCATACACACAGTCACAGTCACACACACACACACACACACACACACACGTATGCACACACACACATGCATACACAATAACATACCCCCCCACACACACACACATTTACTGACATATACACACAATCACAGTTATGCCCACACACAATCACACACATGTACACACAAAACCACACACGTATACACACATAATCACAGATACACACACAATCACAGACCCACACACATAAAATCACAGACATATGCACACAATCACATACATACGCACACTAGGGGATGCAGGGGGTTGCATTGTATGTGTATCTATGAGCTTTATGGTGTGTATGCGCATAGGGGTTGTAGTGTACATTTGTGTATAGTTGCAGCAATGTGTGCATAGGGGTGTGGTGTGTGTATATAGGTGTGTGCATATATTGTGTAGAGTGTGTATAGTGGTGAAGATTGTGTATATCTCTCAGGCCAGTGAGTCTCCCCTCCATGCACATGAAGGGACAGTGGTCTCTCTTAGAACTGGTGCTGGCCTGCATGGGCCAACAGGGGAGAACATTTGATCTCAGCTGCCAGCCTCGGCCCATGGCCATTGCGGCCCACTGGACATTTGCCTTGTTTGCCGATGGCTAGGCTGGGCCTACTTTCTATTTACTGACACTTACTGTCGCAATACAAGTACTTTGGAATGAAGTCTTACAGAATCAACTCAAGTACCAAGTTTTTATTTAATTTATATATCTGATATTGAATATCAGCATGAAGTACCAGTTAAAATGAAAAATTTAAATTATTATACTCATAATAAATGGAAA